AACTAGGCTTTAAATTATTATATATGTGCATGGCATAATGTATTTACATCTTTTGTGAAAATTGTGGGCCTGCAACACCTTGCTGGTAGGGCTATCCCCAACCCCTGTGTGCTGTGGGCCTACAAACTTATCATTATATTGCATAATGATGTTGTATAGTGTACTACACTTATATTCTTACAAATTGCAAATATGACTATACCCAATGCATGCATCAATTGGGCTTTAAAATGATGATATATGTGCATGGCATAATGTATTTATATTTTTTGTGAAAAAATTGAGAGCCTGCAACACCTTGCTGGTAGGGGTATCCCCAACCCCTGTGTGCTGTGGGCCTACAAAATTATCATTACAGTGCATATCTTGCACAATATTTTACTCCATGTGCATGTACAACTATCTTATTATGTACCTATATACTTTATTATTGTACTTACTATGTATCTATGCTTAATTATACCAAATGTTATGTTATATGTTATAATATTCTATACTCTCTGCACTCTTCAGTTCAGAGGTAATATAGGGAATTAAAAACAACTCATATCTAATTTGCACGCGACTACATTTCAAACACATGATCAGTACTCGGATTGTAATTTTATAGCTGCCACCAGCATTCCTTTTTAGTTGGACCAGATATGTGAATGGTATAACATTTTAGGAGATGGTTTTACATAAGCTTTAAGCTTGTTACCAAATCCTCTTAGTTAAGATTTGAATTATATGTTTATCTAAATGTTAAACATTGAATAAAATATTGTTTAGTTTATTTTTGTTTGTATTCCACCAATGCTTTAAAAAATGTTCTAAACTACCATTGCTGACTTATGTTTTATTATCAAGAACCAGTGTTTATTGGATCCAATCCGTAACATTTTCTGTCAAAGTTGCTATATACTGAGGACCACTCCGTAAGATTGTTTTACTTCGTATTTGTGAACATCATAGGAAGATGATCCTAAATGATATATCACTTAAAAGTGGATGCTATTGACGTGTCTCCCTGAAAAATTTATACCTTAGATTGCTTATTTATGACCATGACAGCACCATACATATATTATAATACAAATTTCGAGTGTCACTTAGTATCACGATGTGCTTCACAGTCAGATAGTGTCCATAAACCAGTAACTTTGTAAGTTTAAGAGAGCACCTGCCTTTCGTGGCCGTCTAGGTCCGCATCCTGAACAAGTACAGTGTTAACAGTTGCTTATTTATGTTTTGTTGCCATCTCACAACCAGATAATCGTGTTTGCAAGTTTGTCCTCATCTGATGGATTGGTTCTTGTCCCGTAATGCTCTTGCTCTAATATCTAGGCTAAAGCATTGGTACAGTCTTCGTGATTACAGGTGGTATACACTGCTGGTGGACTTTCAGTCCCTGAAGCTTGTCTTGACCTGCATGCAACGTTTTAATTCCTTCAGAATATAGACACTGACTTAACGTAGCTCCAAAATCAGATATACAAATATATAAATATATGAAATTTATTGAATTATGAATTAGTGTAACACGAATCTAGATTTTGATATTTCTTTAATCACTTTGAATTTTCGTCAGTTACCTCAATGCCAGACTTACAAAATTAAGACCTTAGCATCGCTGACGAGTTCTAGATGGACGAAACAGCTGCATGATGCAGTTTAATTGATTGGCTCTGCTGTATCTAACTCTATATAAACTAACATATTAAATATAAGTACATGAACACAAACCCATGTCTTGGGAGGGGCAATTTAGGGTGAGATATGGGGGTTCACTTCACCATTTATTAATGGTGATATGTTTTTGACTTAATGACAATTTTCACTAAAGATTCCTTACCTGATGATTGACCCATTTTCCTGATGCAATGGTTTTGAAATCATTTGTTGTCAATTTTGCATTTCCTATCCCTAACCTCCCACTTATAGATCTCGACATCTTACTGGTGACGCTCATATAACTGAATCTGGATCTGAGACCTGATATATGCATTCCATCATGACAGAAGAAGCTAGAATTATACCTGGCACAATATCATAAGGGTTAACTGTAGAAAATGCTGTTGGATTTGGTGAATATTTTGTGAGGATTTGAGCACAAAGATCCAGGTCTTTTGGTGATTGTTTATGGAGTTTCAGGTAAAGAGACAATGGTGGAGACTCAGATGCTTCTTATACCATGCTATGAATATTCTTTGTTTGAGGTAAATGATAGATTGAACATTTTCTGGTAAGAGTTTGGCACATCAATGAAAAACTTTTCAACTACTTAGCTGTGTATTGGGTGTTTTGACATGACAAGTACTGTCACGAAAATCTACAGGGTTTTCTTCTTGTATCCTATTGAATTTGCCACATAGATTTTTTTCCGTTTTTCCTTTCTTTGTTTGCCAGAATCCTTGAATGGATCTTTTGTGCTAACTTTGTGTAGGTCATATTTCCGTATGGACCCAGCAGCCTTTGGGGGAATTTTGTGTCCATTTCTTTTTCCGGTTTTCGGTTCTTTTCAAATTGGCTCTTATTGTTCTGATAGAGGACCTAGTGGATATGGTTTTGCTTCAGAGAGGGATTTCCGTCCTAGTAGTTTGTAGTTGAGAGGTCTAATTAATATCCTTATTGAAGGACCTGTTTGGATTTGAAGAATCCTTTTTTGGTACAACATATTTCCACACGTTCTGTGTGCTCTGTAATGTCTGTCTCCCCTCCAGCTTATACACGCATTTTCCTTTTACTTGGCCCACTTTGTATGGTCCTATGTACCGTTTAACCATTTCGTCCCTTCTCTGTTTTACTTCTTTGAATTCTTCAACAACACTTGGTCACCTGCATGGAAAGGAGCATCCTTCTGTTTGTTGTTATAATAATTCTGTTTCTCCGACAATTTATCCACAATTGAAGTCAAAGTCTTTTTCCTAATTTCCAAGAGCTGAACAAAACACGTAGTCCTGTCAGTTATCACTTCATATGATAAAGCTTCAAATGGTTCGCCTAATGTTGTTGGTCTATTCAAACAAACAGGAAGGGACTGTTTTTTACCATATACAGGATACAAGGGAGTCTCCTTTGTTGATTTATGTACACAGGTTCGTGTGGCAAATGCCAACATCTGCAGATACGTATCTCAATTGTCGTGCTCACATACTTTACCAGAGAAACACACAATGTCTGATTGAAACGTTCTGTGAGGCCATTGGTCGGTCGATGATAGGCTGTTGTTACTGTGATACTGTTATCATGGCCATGGTAAAGTGAACCCCCTACCCCCTCCTAAATTTCCTCACCCAAGACATTTTTTGCAATTAATGTGTTTATATGATTGATTCAGGATAATAAGTAAAACAAATTGGTGTAAAAAGTTAAGTAGTAAGAAAGTAGTGAAATGCTTCACTTTACTATGGCCATGGTGAAGTAACCCTCTCCCCTGCCCCACTCTAACTTTCCTCACCCAAGACACATTTTTGTTATATATGTGTTTATTGGAATTAATAAGACTGATTGGTAAAAATATGGGTTAAAAAGTTAATTAGAAAGAAAATAGTAAGATGCTTCATTTTACCATGGCTCAGTCCCATCCTAGATTTCCCCACCCATATTATTCTTCAGTTTTATCATGTTGGGAGGAACTTGATTAATCAAAAATTAAGTGAAGAAACATTGATTTGAAACAACATATAAAGTGGCTTCACTTTACCATGGAGGGGGATGGGGTTCATTTCACCAGAATGGTATTTTGACCCCAGTTCATTTTCCCATTCTTCACAATACCATGCTACACCGAAACCCAGTCACCTTTTGACTAGCCCAGGTTTACCCATTACAGGGACATTATAGCCTCTGTAGCTGGTGAGAGAAAATAGGCAACTTTAGTAGATCTTTTTTCCATATTCCAGTCAAGAACTCTGCACAAAATTACTTTTGTTTTACTTGTAGCAACATGACTTTCAAGTTCCGGGACATCATGTCTTTTGAGCCGATGTCTTCTTCATTCATTTTTACCAAACACTTGCAGGTAATGGCGAGTAATGTTCACGAAATAAATTTATAAATTGTTGTTTGATAATGAAAACCTGTCCTTGGAATTCAAATCTTTTTTATTTTGTAGGAAATATGTTACTTTTAATATGTTTCATCTTAATATCCATCAAAAAAAATTTAAGAGAGTTTATGGGATGAATTATGGTATGATGTTGTCCATTTGTCCTTCATAAACTTTTATTTGTCAACAGATCTCAAAGTCTCCAAGTCAAAGTCTTTCAGCTTAAACACCATTACATTAGGTTTCGGTCTTTTGTCATGTGGAAGAGTTATCCCCCCTTCTTGTGTTTCATAATGTTAATCTCATTAATGTTTTCTCTTGGCTTTGTACTGTTCTCTTTGACAGACATGAAATTGTGTTTTAATCATAATCTCATTATTAATCAGCAACTTTTAAGGGAGTAATTACCTATCAAAGATATCCATAGGTTGTACAAAAGACACATTCTGTGATATGAAGTCCTGTCTACCTAAAAAGCATTTTAATTGGATATTTTTGGGGGGAGTATGCATGATGTCTTCAACATTTCAAACGTTTCCAGAATTCTCATCTATAATAAGGTTTTTTAAGTTCTTTTAAAACTTGATTCAACCACTACATCCTGATATATTTTCCGGAGTGGAAGTGTAACGCAATCATCCCTGAAAGAGTTACTTCCCTTCCATTTTTTATCATTAGTTATTATCTTGTCTAAAAATCTCATTTCCGAAACAGTCACAAAACTTTGAATACTCAAATTAAATTTGAGAACCTAAATATGAAATGGCCATATATCGGTCATTTCACCTTCTGATCAAACTTGACTGTTGACTAAACATGGCCAAATTCCAAGATGCCAACCTGTTGGTTGTTAACGTTAATTTCACCATCAGTCCTAAAATGAGGTAGAAACAAGTCACAAAACACCAAGTATGAATATGGCTAAGTTTAAAAGCAACTTTGTCATTTTTATGTAAAAGTCATTTTCATTTCAAACTTTTTTTTTCTTGGTCTCCTTTTTAAAGCTTTCAAATTTCATGTTGAAATTCTCTAGCTGTTTTTGCCATTCTTCGTGCCTCTCCGACTGTTTTCTGTTATTCAATGATATATGAACACCTTCATTCGGAAAGTTACCCTCCTTTTCAACATAAGGATTATTTCCATTTTGCGAACTGTAACAATCGTCTGTGTTTATCCATGTATCAGTTTTCTCCTGTAATGACAAACGGCTAAACTCAGACCTATGTAGTCCTTCCATTTTCATTTCAACTCTACCATACTGATTTGTAAAATTTCTAGTCTTTATGTCCTTTCCAGCTGATATATTATTTTCTACATGTGAGTCTTTTATATCTGGAATATAACCACTTTTCTGTTGATCATGGAATTCATGTTCATTCTCTAAGCTTTTTTCGCCAACTTTCTGATCTCTTTGGCGTTTTGAGATATTGACAGTTGAAGTTTTTGTCATCTGTTTTTTCCTTTTTTTTGGTTTTTTCTCTTCATCCTCAGAACTCCACAACTCCCGCAGACTAGGTTGTCTTTTCTGCAAATATTAAAAAAAAACCAAATTGTTAACGGCTGACTTCAGTCATAGTAAATGACTCATAAATGGAAAGTAACAAGACATATAACCCTATTTGCTTTGGATGGTATGTGACGGACCTTCTGTATTTTCTTCAGTGATACATCCACCAGCTACCTATTCTACAAGGAGATCCCAGCTAAAATAACCCTGGCTCTTCCCAATAAGGCCTAAAATTGAGAAAGCTTCTGGTTTTTTTTTATCCAACTTGGTAGTCAGCTATTGCAGGATTCTTTTCATTCCTTTCAAATTTTGACATATTAAGATGACAAAACATGACACTTTGTATTAGACGAAGCTTTGCATTTATCATGTGTACCTTCTTATCCTTTTTTTCTTCAGGCTGATATTGTGAAAGCTGCTCATCTCTGTTTTCCGCTTTAATAAATCCTGTTAAATGTACTTGTCTATCTGAAAATGAGAAAAATAAAATAAACATGTAAAATGATGATACAATCCAATGTATGGTAGCAGGGTAACAGGTACAAGCCTTCTCTATTGTCAATACACTCCATACGCCAAAGTGTATCGACAGATGAGGCTTGTACATGTGGCATGGACTTGGTAAATGTGCCAAATTTGTTTTTTCTCTGAAACTGATGTGACAAATTAGATGTATACACTGTATATAATTTACGAATAAAAACGATTGTTTACCTATATTATGTATGTAGAAGTTGAGAGTACTGGTCATCTTATTGGCTTCGGCTGGCGGGAATTTCCCTTTAGTCGAGCGGTAGAGTGTCGGCTAGAGATCGAAAGGTCGCTAGTTCGAACCCCATCGGTAGAAGGGTGTTTTACATTAATCCTTACTGTCACATGAGCAAGCGTTATGACTTTTGGCACTGGCAGACATTGTTATGTATTAAATGTATAAAACTTGAAAAGCATAGAGATTTAAAAGATATATTTTATAAAAGCGGTATCATATAAGGTATTCCTCGTGTTAAGCATGCATCATTCCTTCTACATGCACCTACTGTAAACTAAAATTGTACTTTCGCTTTGTGCAACAACTCAAGGGAGGTCACTCTATCAAAATAACCACGCGGTCTTTATATTAAAGTCCGTGGTATGATTGGGTAACTTGAAACTTCTTGAGCACTTACTTGGGATTGTGTTGATTTTTTCGAGATGAAATTGCCTGTATCCGTTAAAAAATAAATTTGAAACGCGTTTCAAATACAAAAATGTTGACATTTTAGGTTGACGTGTACATACGTGCTTACACGCCCACGCGGTTCTATATTCCTTCTCCTGTTTGTACCCAAAACGCATTGATAAATCTAGAAAGATTCCGAAAATAGTTTGGTCGTGTGACAGAAGATGTTTGTAAGCAGTTTGTGGACAGATAGTCTGTATGGAAAAGAGTTGCATCAACACAGATTGTAAATAATGCTGCAATTCGATCAAGAAATGACTCAAACACTTGCTATAAAGTTCTGATCCATTTGATGATTCTACATAACCTTGTTCCGTGTATGTTTGGTAAAGATATCGGAGGTAAGTTAAATCTGGAGTGAACAGCACAGTAAACGGACATTTTTGTTCCGATGAGAAACAACTGACATGAAATCTAGAGGTTTTTTTCCATATTTCTTAATCAGGGACGTAGATAACAGTTATCCCTGCTTAAATCTATAGGCTTCTAGACGAATTGTATTTTGTTAGTTTTCTTTATTGATTGTTTCCTTCTTCTTATTTAAAAATTTACAATTTTGGTTTTAATGCTTTCACCTTCAACCTGCCACCAGACACCAATCAGTGTTTTGATATATAACATCTTTCAAATTAGGACTCGGCACAAACCTTAAATGGTTGGGAACGTTCTTGGAGTTAGAACCCCAACACGTCCCCTCATGCAGAGGATAAAATCCTGTTGATGTTGATGCAGTTCACTTTTAGCTTTCATTAACCATCGAGTATTTATAGGTTAGTCTAGAGGGTTCTGACTCATATTTTTTAATAACCATTTGTTTCATCTGACTAATAACATCTTCGATACTCCAGGTGTTTCCATCACTTTTGTTCACTTCACCCCTGGAACATTTCATCACAAATTTGAAGGTTCCATGTGAATAAGACGAGAAGACTATTTTGATCCTTTTTAATGTACGTGTACACAAAACAAATCTTGAGGTCTTCAATGATATGTTGTTCTAGTTTTGAAGTTAGATGTTGCTCATTGTAATCTTCAAAGGATCATATCAGTCTGTAATTGGTCAGATATATCTCCTGAAACATGCTTTAGACCAATCTAATGATTTCACTTTTGACTTCCAATTTGATATGAAATGTACCAGGGCCAGTTGCAGAGAGCAAAAGTGTTTGTAACCCCTGCAGTGTTGAGGATGGACAGGCAAGTGAGATATACCTTAAATGTGCATGATCTAAGTGTAAATATATATATGGTTTTGTATAAAGCATTCTAGAAATATGAAATGGTATATGTACATAAACACTCATGTTAATTTGTAAAGTGATAATTACCAATTTTCTTTTCCTCCTTCATTTCCAGGTACATCTTTAACTTCATATTTTTCAAGAAATTTGACAAAAAGTGTTGAAAGTAAGTACTGATTGACCATGGAGATAATCAGTGTGATAATATTTTGTGTGATTCTGTATGTGTTGTGGAATTGTTGTGGAGGAGGTAGCAACAGTAAAAGATCTTCAGCTTCAAAATCAAGGGAGACAACTGGTGCAAAAGGTGCTCAGAGTAACCTGTATCCAGACCTCAGTCAACTCCAGAACAACAGTTTATTTCGTATGTTTAATGGCAATAGCTTTGATTCCATCCTTGACAAGTTCAGCACGCTCGAAGAGGTTCAGACTGCAATACGAAAAGCTGGGCTTGAATCCTGCAATCTCATATTTGGTAATTATAGTAATTTTCTAGTTAAATTAGAAGTCACATTATAATTCTCATTAATTTTGATACATTACATATTATAGATTTTCAACTCAATTACATATTTAACAGAAAATAAAGAATAAAATACTTCCCAAGATATCTGAATTCAATATTATTTAGGAAAGTGTATAAAAAAAACTTTGAATAGTAAAATAATATTTTGCACTTTATGGTTTTCAAAAACGTCAAAACATTCTCTATAAGAATCCTAAGTGATTTTTTAGCATGCTTATAATGCCTCATATTTCTAATATATGCATATATATCACAGATTTCCTTTCAGTGGAGATACTAGCTTGGTCTGTCTACACATTCAGAAATAGACCTGTAGTTTCAGACATGTTTTTGATTACTAATCTGATTGTAGGAGTTGATTACACTGCCAGTAATCTACAACAAGGCATAGAGTCCTTCAACGGCAGATCCTTGCATGACACTCGCTCAGGAACACCGAATCCTTATCAAAGAGTACGCCAGCTATGTTGAGCTTGTATTTCATGCTCTAGACATATGCATGCTTAATGAGGGATAAACTATAGTAACAGCCAAGGGTTCATATTGAGATTATGAAAATCAAACTTTTTTTCACTCTTCAGCATCTTTACGAACATAAATAAATTCATATTTTGTGAGAGTTTAGTAAAGATTTTTTTTTTCAAAAACAATAGAATTTTGCTCATTAACCAATTTAGACTAGATTTGGTGTTATTCATACCACATTTTGGGAAAAACCAGTAAAAGACATTTGACATATTTGATGATAAGGACCTTTATATATCAAAACTTTTTGGTGTCCAAGAACCGGACCATGGAAAAGTGGTCATATCTAAAAATGTGCTGAAAATTTTAACATTTCTGATGTTTGAAATGTTATAATATTTTCATTCTGCAATATTTTGATACATATTTAAGGTAATAATTTGCAGCAATTCCTTCTTATTAAAAGAATATCATCATTTGATAGTGTAAAATGGAGATTCTGCACAACTGTGATGCTTTTGAAGAAAACTTTACCAAATCAACGTCTTATGTTCCGATAGAAAGTGAACACCTCAATTTATCATTTAAACAAAATGTGGAATTTTTCATAGATCTAACTAGATTGATTTACAAATGTTTGCACAGCCCTAATTGAATCATAACAGTTTTGCGTTGTTATAAGCAGAACAGAATGAAATATTTGTGTAAGTTTTAAAATCGATAGAAAATAAGCCTACTGAAGTAATATATTTGTTACCCCAGCAGAATTTTAGTTAATAGCATACATACTTGTGTATTTACCCAATACTCTATGTAAAATCTCTGATCCAGTGACCTTTCAGGTCTGGATTTCCCAATGCATTAATTTACTTGGTTTGGCTGGGGGTATTCCCACAAATTTTCTCTATCCAAACTGACCACAGGAGAGATATTTTGATGTTAACAACAGTTTTAAAAGTCATTAGAATGAGTTATTAAAAGGTACAGAACAGATATAAATTTTGTAACCTGGGCAGAATATCGCTTTAAATATTGTTTTGATATTTTTTTTTTTTTTGACAAAATATTGAGCCCTGTCGTACAATTGTGGTTTGTGATTGTGTACACAGCCTCCCTGTACAACAAATTTCTCAAATTATCTCTTGGCTGTTAAAATAGTTTTTGCATGATTGCTGAACTCTTTCTAGTTATGAAGTCCTGTAATAATATATTACTAGAACTTATGCTAATTCCTAACTAACTTTCTTGCCCTTTTCAACACAACCTTGTCATCTTCAGTGGTCTCAATGTTGCTTGTTTTTTTTTTCTGAAGGATTCATACATTTTGATTTCTTTAGAAAAGTTTTGAAGAAAAAAAATTGCTTTTTGCTACACAATTTTCACAAGTAGCTGTATACATACATGTTCTATTGTACAGTATCTGTTTGCAAAAACACTTTGGACATACTTTGGAATGTACATATCTGAAGCATCCCAAAAACCTTGATGTCATTTCTTTGTCTGCATCATTGAAACTCTTTGCATGAACAGGTTGTTATGTATACCTGTGGTATATTGACTTCACGTCCGTTAAAAGACAATTATTGTAGATTTGTCTATTTGACCTTCACAGGCATAGACTACACAGTCAGTAATATGCACACAGGTCAAAGGACATATGGTGGTAAAAGTCTCCATGCCATTGGACCTATGTTCATGAACCCCTATCAGCAGGTGAGAAAAAATTTCATACTTAAATGTCTATATTTCTGCCGCACATGCAGATCTTTTCACCATTCTGTTCTCTACTGCTGTAGGGGATTAAACGAGAAATCATTTCAAATTAATTTTATTTAAATTTTGGGGAAAAAAATGGAAATTTTCATTGTGTCTTAGGACTGTAGGTATGTTATATTCATGTGTGACTAACATTTTCCATGAGAAAAAGGTGTCTGCAGTCTTTTTTGAAAAGGCAACAGAATGTTTTTATTTCAAATTAAAATATCAAATAGATGAAACTACACAAACACTTTCAATTTTTTCTCATTAATAAGCAGGTATAGAATATGTACTTCTCTAATACACACTGAAAGGCACCTTAAATTTTGCATAAATACTTAAAAAAAGACTGCTTTAACAGGAAGAATTACTTATCTCTTAACCTATATATTAATTTTTGTATGAATAACCCTCTCACATTGACACCAGAATTAAAAACTAACCATTTTGATTGGCATGGAGATTTAAGTGTGTGAAAAAAATACCCAAAAACTCACTTCAGATAAAAGTTACTTATTTCAACTTAAGCATATTCACCCTTATCCACGTTTTTTTTCTCTGTTTGTGAAATGAATACAGAAACGCACAATACACTTGTCACATTTCATATTTCCTGGGTTGATATACATGTAAATGTATGTAATAAGATATATACTAGGGCTCTTGATCTGCCAAATTTGGGGCCCTATTCCCAATGCAAAATAGTATCTTTTTTTCCCAATTTAGACCCCAAGTTCTCCCAATTCAAAGGAAAACATCATTATTTTTCCCAGTTCTAAGGGCCCCGGTCCCAAAATGGGGTGTGAGAGCCCTGATATGCATGTTTTTTTTGTTGGTTCGAAGACTTCACAAAAAAATATGAAAGATAGAAAGGAGTGAAAGCAGCAGTGATTACACAGTAAACTGCATACTGGGTTTTATGGGTGTTTTAAAATGTAAATATACATTATTTTAAATGGATCTGAAAATAGACTAATTTGAGTTTAAGAACGCTACTGGTGCCCACACACGTTCCTGGTATATATAGAGCAGCCCATACAGGAAGTAAATGTGACAAGTGTACAGTTCCTCAGCAGTCCAATATACACCAGTACCATTTAACAAGAAAACTGCTTTCTCTGGAAACATGTATATGAACAATAGATTAAAAACACAATTTCATTGTACATACCCAAGTATATGTCAATTTTCAGAAAAAAAATTCATTTAGAAACTTTTTTTCATTTTGTATTCATTTTACTGAAAATATTTAATCTGTATAATATTTAAGAATATTTGTGTTTAAGAAAAAACATACATTTTTTTTTAATTTGAAAAGTTATTATTTTGGAAATACATGATTTGATTCTTTGTCTAAAGAAAAAAACCTGCATGATAATTTTTCAAATATTGAAAAATGTTCTGACATAGATAGTAAGGATGCTAGGCAATTACCTGATGACAAATATCATATTTATCTTTTATTTCTGTAGGTCATTTGTATTCTTGGAGAAACACTGGAACCATTTGATGAAGACGGAATTATTCCAGCCTTTGGGTTTGGTGATATCTCAACCAGAGATAATGGAGTCTTTTCTTTTCGATCAGAAGTAAGTGACCAGGATTATGTTAAATACCGTAACATTTTAATGGTTAAAAAAATGATAATTGTAGTAAAATCATATGATATCCTGCAAATTGGTTGTCGGTTTTATAACCCCTAAAAGAGTCAGGGTCATTTTAAATGGTTTTTTATTGGTATCTGTGTTTTACCTCTCTGAAAACAATGCAGAAGGACCATCACATTGACTTTAATTTAAAATAATCTTGAATAAACAGTATCTCTGAAAAATCTAACAGGACAAATCTCTGACATTTAATTTTTTTCTTACTTAGGAATACAAGAGATCAATTTGATTCTAATTTTACAGACAATTCTTTATTTAGACTTTTTTTCCTTTTTTTTTGAACTTTGGACTTAAAAATCTGAGTCCAAAAACAGTTATGGGATCACGCCTTCATTTACTCTGTATTTGATGTTTTTATATTGTTTGAAATTACCATGACCTGTGAACTTTGACCTTTAGGGTTATTGCCATGGATTTCATGATGTACTTGAAGCGTACAATCAGATTACTCCTAATGTAAGAATGAGTGGTCCAACAAACTTCGCACCCCTCATACGTCAAGCTATCGACATCGTGAAGAAAACGAAATCTGTGAGTATGCTAGTTAACAGAGTTCCAGATTCTACATGGAATTATTGATTACTGAAGCAGTACAAAAGTTTTCTTTATATAAATCTTTTAAAAAGTAAACCAACAGAAATTTCTTTCGAATGCTACATGTATATCAATAGGCTATTTATGGAATTTTTTGATATCTTTGAACCCCAAAATATTTGATATTACTACAGCTTGCTTAGAAATTGATTAAAACTAAAAAATGAAATATAAAAATAAAAATTCCACCCTCTTACTCCTGGTTTTTCTATAAAATTTCCAGAATAACCCCCCCCCCCCCCCCCCAACACTCCATTTTTTCAATGATGTAGTCTATGATATGGGTCTTACAATAAAAAAAATATATACATTATTAACTTTATAATAAGCCCATGTTGGCCATTTCAATGTTAATCCTTGCATAAAGTCAGTAGTTGGAACTGTTATAGTAAAATAAAACAGTGCTGATTTATAATTCAACAGAACCAATATGTTATATGCTTGGACTTATTAACTTTATACCAATTATAAGCTTATTGTTGAATAATTGTGATAATTTTTATTAGTCGATTCAAAAAGATAGAATTTTGTTACAAAAGTGTAACATGAAATGAAAAATGAACTGGGACCTGGGCTTATTAGCTGACATGGGTTGATCGTAAATCATTTCCCTTATGGTCCTAACAAAACTGTTTACTTCATAATAGTGTTGTTCTGAAAAGAATTAACAGTAATATTGTCAATTCTGTGTCTGTATTTATTGAATGTCTAATCTGTTACAGTATCATATCCTGGTGATTGTTGCTGATGGTCAGGTTACCAACGAGTCCGACACAATCAACGCAATTGTCGAAGCTTCTAGATGGCCCCTTTCGATTGTGATGGTCGGAGTTGGTGATGGACCGTGGGAAGTCATGAAAGAATTTGATGACAGAATTCCTCAAAGGAAATTTGATAACTTTCAATTTGTAGAATTTAATAGTGTGATGACTTCGTCAAGGAATCCCCAGGCAGCATTTGCACTCCAAGCTTTGATGGAGATACCAGACCAGTACAGATTGATACAGAAACATGGACTGCTCAAGTTTTAAAGATTTGATGTGACTTTTCTTGTGTATGACTGTTGGATGGCAATTTTTTATTTTTGTACTATGGCGTGATCTTATGGAGTTATTATGAGACTGCAAAATCATTTATTTTCATGGGCCTCAATTTTCAATTTTTTCCAATAGATAAATTTTTCATGGACACTTGATTTCAAGAAAAAATACACCCTTATATGGTCTACTAACACTAATTTCAACAACATGTACATTTATATGTATTTGTAGACGATAAGTACCCATAAAAAAATTTAAACTCCCGTTAAAATGGATGATTTTACAGTAAAATGTATTTAATTTTTCGTCAATGTGAAAGTTGATTCAATCAAGATGTGCCTCTCTTTTCAGAATACTTGTTTGTACGACGTGTTTTTGGGAAAAAATATTTTATTTTCATACTCTTTCATAAATAATTGTCGATGGAGAACACAAAGTCATTCTATAATTTTTTCATCTAAATATACTGTACACCAGATTTCACATTTTAACTCAGATTGACATGTCACTGTTAACATACTTTTAGGGGTAAACTGATTTTCATGCTGAAACATGATGGAGCTAGTTGTCGCCTCTATACACTGTTGATAAATTGCAGTTATTTCTGATGCATGAATTCATCATTGCACTAATTTGCATTTAAAGTGATAACACACTAAAATTTGGTTGAACTAAATGAAGTTTATGAATGTTTAAACATTGATACACCTTGAGGTCACTGTGACCTACTTTTCATACTGAATTTGTTGTATTTTGTTATGTTTCAGTGGTCATTATATGAAATCAATTACTTAATTTATTCTGTGCTTGTGATTTTGTTTAAATATCTTTGTTTAGCTTTGTAGATATTTGTATCGTCAGACCATAATTCCATAGACTTTTTCATTGTCTGACCTTACCTCCATAGACTTTTCCATTGTCTGACCTTAGCTCCATAGACTTTTCCATTGTCTGACCTTAGCTCCATAGACTTTTCCATTGTCAGACCTTACCTCCATAGACTTTTCCATTGTCTGACCTTACCTCCATAGACTTTTCCATTGTCAGACCTTACCTCCATAGACTTTTCCATTGTCTGACCTTAGCTCCATAGACTTTTCCATTGTCAGACCATACCTCCATAGACTTTTTCTTTGTCTGACCTTACCTCCATAGACTTTTCCATTGTCAGACCTTACCTCCATAGACTTTTCCATTGTCAGACCTTACCTCCATAGACTTTTCCATTGTCAGACCTTACCTCCATAGACTTTTCCATTGTCTGACCTTACCTCCATAGACTTTTCCATTGTCTGACCTTACCTCCATAGACTTTTCCATTGTCAGACCTTACCTCCATAGACTTTTCCATTGTCTGACCTTACCTCCATAGACTTTTCCATTGTCAGACCTTACCTCCATAGACTTTTCCATTGTCTGACCTTAGCTCCATAGACTTTTCCATTGTCTGACCTTACCTCCATAGACTTTTCCATTGTCAGACCTTACCTCCATAGACTTTTCCATTGTCAGACCTTACCTCCATAGACTTTTCCATTGTCAGACCTTACCTCCATAGACTTTTCCATTGTCAGACCTTACCTCCATAGACTTTTCCATTGTCAGACCTTACCTCCATAGACTTTTCCATTGTCTGACCTTACCTCCATAGACTTTTCCATTGTCAGACCTTACCTCCATAGACTTTTCCATTGTCAGACCTTACCTCCATAGACTTTTCCATTGTCAGACCTTACCTCCATAGACTTTTCCATTGTCAGACCTTAGCTCCATAGACTTTTCCATTGTCAGACCTTACCTCCATAGACTTTTCCATTGTCAGACCTTAGCTCATAACAATATCAATAGCTTTCTAGACTTTTCATTTATTTGACCTTTTTTTCCTAGATAATTATCATCCTTAGGTCCATCTTGTTTCATCATACTCAATAGTTTAGAATATTGTAATATATATACCAAAGATATGATTTTATCAAAAACTGTCTGAAGAGAATTTGTAGGTTAATTATATACCCAGTAGAGCCGTTGTAAGTGGGAAGCCACAGTTTCTCCACATCGAATCCATGACTGTCATTATACATGTTTTTGTATACTCAAGTGATCAAGTAATTCTTAAATTAATGATTCAAATAATCTTTTTATTATGAGTCTTTGTTGCTTGTTACTAACACACAGACCTCCATAGTTTTCCCTATATCATAACATAATGTTCTGCCTTCAAATGTATGAAGATGGTTATTTGTCAATGTTAAAAGATCAGAGGTATGGGGAGCAGGGATATTAATGTCTTTCATTTTCTAGTTGTTTTTTATTCAGATATATATTTATGTATAAAATTTAGATGTTGAAAACTTACCCATTTCAAAGTTAACATATTAAATTCTATGTTTAACCAGTCTATTCAATAAATTATGTACACTGTACAGAAATATTGGGTTTGTACCATGCTTGTTGAATTTGAAACATCTTATGTACTGATACATAATCAGGTCAAATTTGTTAAAACCTGTAACCGACTTCTTCAGGAATATATATGAGTAAACTGCATTTGATTTAGAAAAGATATCAGATTCTATCTCAGTTATCAAAAATTAAAAAGGAATAATTAGGAGGGGGATGTATCTCATGTTAAAACAAAATTGGGAGCAAAGTGTTGTTTTTAATCAGATTTTGACATAAAATATGACTACGACAAGGGATCAAATGGCTCTTTATGTATTTTTCAGAGAATGTTGGCAATGTTTGCAAACTGTCCCTGTATTAATTGTCAATACTCAATGTTCAGTTGACACTTTATTAGACAGAACATAAAAAGTATTTAAGTATAAGGAACTAAATATTAAGGGTACAAAATCCTCATGTAAAATAAATAATTTCAAGATATATGGACAGGTACATAGTACCACTGTTAATGTTCCCTGATATGACATTTCTATTGGGTGGTGCAGAGACGTATATATCACATATATACGTCTCTGGGTGGTGCTACGAAATCAAGCGAAGGATAACGATTTTTGAGATTTAAGGGTTTAAGGATATAAGAAATTGTATGCTCATTTAAATTCTTTGAGAAATCATTCCAAATTTAATTTCGACCATTATATTGAATCTGTTTTGTATTATTCATAGCCCGATAGAACTAAGTTTTTCCACTTCCTAATCGTGCAAGTAATTACGCAAGGGAGCTAACTCCAGCCTTCCAGATTTTGCGTATTCTGTTTAAAGACGACTACCATAATCGTGCAACTCAATGCTCTTTCCAATACAAGCCACAGAACTGACGAACTATTTCAATTCCTGAAAAATTCTTTGTGTTTTTTCTTTTCGTTGGAATAAGTTTTCCTATCCCATTACCGCTGGACATTTAAAAAAAAAATTATTATTATTTTTTTTTTTTTTTGTACGGCAGGTGGAGGGAAATACTGAAATACCGCTGTTGGGGTATGGAGAACACCACACCATCCCCCTATCTTCTCTTTGATACATTCTCTTACAATACGCGAACTGCGAAAATAACATGAATATCATTAATCCTTCCTTTGTTTAACATTCAATGTCTACTATAGCATAACAATGATGTTGTCGGGGTCAAACAGATAACGAATATCTTAAGATAACTTTATTGATTCCATACAGGAAGGAACTAGCGATAATTATTTTGTTAGTGGTGGATCTAGAAGGGAGGGGACTGAATTAAGGAGGCCCGTTTCTATATCTAAGTCCGTGAAGAGCTACTCAATTCCTTATGAAATTAATGAACAATATAACAAATTCCTTCGTATTAACCTTTTCAATGAAGTATAAACAGTTTTTGTTATTTCTAATCAGTTCCATTCATTGTGGAGATTAATGAAACAAAGGGAAGTAACTCTGACTTATCAGACTAAGCAACTTTACCTGACTTAAGCTGCAATGTTTGAAAAACAGACGTCGAGTTTTAGAATACATTATGTAACTCGTGAAAGTATTAATAAAGGTTATGAGTGGCGTTCATATTCTGATAAAACTAAACAAATGTAGATACATTTACTCTTAATCGAATTCTGGTTATCCTTGTACTTATATTAATCCATAATTCTTTTATATCTTTTATACGTAAGCTATGATTTTACTCTAAAACAATTTTCAAAAAAATATCTAACGCCAATATCCATACATGCTTTTATTACACACATTAAATACTCCCATTTTTCACACAATCTTATATCCTTGACATTCAGACATCTGTCATACATGTACTGGATGTATCATACGTACATTGAATATCGCCTCCGCCAAACTTGTGCTCCGTAAGTGCAGTTTAAAAAGTGTCATTTCAATTTCCGGTCATGCGTAGAAACACAAGCGAGGAGGATACCAGTTTGAAGCGCATGTCTATAAATTTGGTTTGCAAAATTGAATACGTTTCATATAACTTCTAGTGACGTAAACGGTCGTGAAGTCGCGCACGCGGGATTCCGAACAACAAGAAATGATGTGAAGGAAGAAAGTTACCGTCACCTTGTGCATCGAAGTCTCCCGTGTTCGCGGGATTGGGGAGTCCTCGGCGATGTTCAACCATTTCCCACGTTCTTAAACCCCCACTGTGATGAGTACCGTTCAGAACAATATCTGCCATCTTTTTGTTGATTTCCATCCTCCAACATACCCACTTCCGCTCACGATTACAACAAACACAATTCAAGTGTCTAGGAACCATATCCGGAAATGACGTATTCTGGTAAAATTCCTGTGCCAGATGTCTACCATGGGAAATGTTTAATGCTCGGATACTCCTGTTTAGGACATGTATGTTTACATCGTGGTTTTTGGAGTTTTCTGACGGAGGAGACAGAGAAGACGGACTTTTTGGACATTCGTGTATTCTTGCGAATTTGTCATCACTTCCGGTTCCGCTTTCGGAGTAGACAGACTTTATAGAGCAGTACAGATGTTCTTGGTTTTCCTGGTCAGGGCGATCCATTCTGGTGAACAGAAAAGAAAAAAAAGTAGTAAAAATAAAATCAGTTTTCATTCCTTTTTTAAGTTGAGAGTACATGTCGTTTTCATTACTCCTTCCTATCACAATTTTGATATCACTGACTCGCCTTATTGTCACTGTAATGTATCTCTCTGATCAGATACATTGTAACTATACGTGAATCTTGTTATTGTGTTTGATGTTAGGGAATCTGTATACGTATTTCTCTATATATTCATGAAATGGACAAACATATATATGTCATATTTTACACTTTTGTTATTCTTCTATCAATATATTCAAAATAATAACACCTGAATGTTTTCGATGGTTTGTAATTTTGATAGACGTGCTGTCGAAGGTAAATCAACGGGAAAAAGCAAATTAAGGGCATCACTTAATAATGAGACCAATCTTTTGACTAAACTTAATTCAAACTTTAAAAATAATGACCTGACAACTAAACCTTGTGGTACACCAGCTTTTAGTTTTCTATTTGTTAATTCATTGATAATGAAAAACTTGTTTTCTATCAGAAAAATAGCTTCTTAACTAAAAAGTTGTCCTGAACATGAAACGTGGTTTTTGTCAGAAAATTGTCATAGGATTTCTTTCGTAATGTCATATTTACTCTTTCTTTGTTGTTACATATATAAAAATTTAATTGCAACCTGTACACGAGATATTTTTTATCTTACCAGTTACATCTATTGCCGATCACATGTTTGTTACTATGACGCACACTTCATTGTTACGACATTTACATTGTGACGTCACGATTAATGTTTGGTTAATTGCTGGGCGCCTAGCAATGTGAGCGAACGCTACCTCCATCGTCTCTGTTATATTTTGACTACCAGCTGCAATGTTCAAAATCTATAACAACGTGACTCCCCTGTACCTCATTTGTCTCTTCCTCATCAAGCTTGTTTGGAACTTAAGCGAATATTGGATGTGGTAAGTATTTTTATTGAATGAAACATGTGTTTTAGAAACCAAGAATAGCACAAAACGCTTTTTTATGTTTTATTTTCATATTCATAAATACTAGGATTAAATTAGATTAACGCGTTTTACAAAAATCTTAATGAATATTCTTGCTTAATTTCAAGTGTGGATCGCGAGCCTACCTTTGGTGAGACAGTGGTGAGTTACCTCCTCTACGTGAATATCCCCCGTCCTGTATGTCCGGTTTTGGAGACGGTTGTATGGGATTCTCTTATGGTATGTTTGAAAATTAAAATAGGTAAGATCATGATTTATAAACACAAATAAATAAATAAATAAATAAATAAATAAATAAATAAATAAATAAATAAATAAACCAAACCCGCCCGAAAAAGTCATAAGAATTAAGAATAACTAACGTTACAGAATATATGAATAAGACAATTTAGAACATAATCAACGTTTTTTACTTTACAAATCCTTTTTTCAATACCGGAAGAGATTATGATAATCTTTGTGAACAAGAGAGCAAAATAGTAAGACATTTATATTTTCTGTATTTTGTCTCTCTATTCGGCTCTTTAATTTCAGAATACTGTGATACACGTCACGACTGGTGCTATCGCTTACACCGCCGCTCAAAATATTATGAATTCCGGATTTTTTCTCCGACTTCGTCAAAGACTTGCTCCATCTTTCATCACAACGTACATTCTTACCTGAAGGGTCAGACCATTTTTATTTTTGTTGTCATTCTGTTTTACTTGTTTCTGGATCAAATATCTATTATGTTACTGCTTTTTTAATAGTTACTCAAAGATAACTGTTACTGTTAGGAGACCCATAAATTAGTTGACTCTTTAAGATGTCTGTAAATTCCTTTTTTTTTTACATCATCTACGTTCCCAGCCCAGAAAGTATACGTTTCTCAAACTCGAGGAAGTTTATTAAGAAAATACTTACAAATATGCAGTAGTGCAAAGTGGATTGGATCCATATGTCCATATCAAGTTTTTTTTATCAAAGACTAATTCGTGTTCCTCGGTTGGGGATTTTTCTTGTCTTTATCTTTGGCGTTTTTTTTTTTTTTTTTGTCTTATTTTTGATACATTTTTTTGCCTGAGTTTTGAGTTATTATTAGCCAGGGCATAATATTTTATGTTCATTGTATATGACAATTTTTGTGGTCATCCATCCGTGTTGTATTTTTCTCTGCATTTAACACCGCAATCCTATTTCATGTAGCAAGTGTGATATGTGTCGATTTTCATCACATTGTACCATTCTCGGTCCCATGACTGTCAAGCTTATCGCCATACCATCTGACAGAGGGAAGCTCTGGGAGATCAGAATGAATAGTACATGGTCTCAAGGAAACCACAGGTATGTATATAAGATCACCAAATCGAAATGCGAATGGCATAAACCAAAAGGCATAATAATGAATCACCATAATCGCATTCCAGGCACACTAAATGTTGTGTTTTCTAAATCTGCATGATTTTCTTTCACCTGTTGAAAGACGTGAAGATCCACCTAGGACACCTAAAGCCCGATCTATTCTAGGAATAGGGCGACTATCATTGACACTAACTTCAGTGAGATTTCTGTAATCAATACAAACACATACGGTATTGCCTTTCTATTTTTACCAAGGTAGCAGGTGAACTCCAGCTACTTTCAAATTTTTGATATTTTCCGTTCTTCAGAGAGAACATGTTTGTGCTCATTTATTTGATTTTTTTGTATAACAATAGTCAATCATTGTTTGTCTTTTCAGATGGAGAATCCACAAGTGATGTCTGGTTACTCGAGGTTTTGGATTTTTGGGAGATATCAAATTGACCCAACACGTGAAATCGTGTCGAGAAAGACTTCGTTTTGGGTATATTTTTTACCCAAATCATTAATTCTTTTTAATAAAATGGCTGTGAGATTACTTTAAAGATGCGTGTCAAAGTTTGTTTTTATGTTATTTTTCAATTAGATACATGGTATAATAATGAATTGTGTTACTTAGATTTACGTCCTTAGAATATCAAAACACATCATTTGAAAAGGTGGTCTGAATAACAGCTGGTGAATCTCGCCATTTTGAACAGCATGGTCGCTCGGTTAGAAAAGGTGTGGGGAAATTCCTTTACACAGTGTCGTTACATATATATATATATCAGGACCGATCTCATGTTATTTAACCATTTCATTTTTCGTAATGTGAACGATTTTCTGATTTGTCAGTTTTTCTTTTCGTTTCTCGATGAAAAAAACTCTCTCTCTTTCTCTCTATCTCTGCGTAATAATTGTATTTAAACATGTCGCCTTGTATTTTGCATATATATTTTGTCAAACTTAATATAAGATAGAAAACATTATTTGTATACATATGAAAAACACTTGGCGAAAAAAATCGAATAGATAAAAAAGGAGGGGGGGGGGGAGGGTACACAAAAGTAAAATATTGGGGGGAAAGGCAAACTGAACAGCGTTAAGTAACCATCAGGTGTTTATTACGTTTTTTCGCAGTTTTTTCCCATTTAACTCTAAAATGTTCTATTAAAATTTTCGTAGAAAAATCAAGATCGGAGAGAGGCTAACGGCATGAAAATCCTAGATTTGGAAGCCGTGAAGGCGACTGAGAAAATCCAAAGTGATCTAAAAATTAGTCAAAACTCTAGACGGGGAGGTGCGCTAGGGTCATTATTAAATAAATTTCGTCATTTTTATATCGCTGATAATTTTAGAACAGCGTTAAATACATGTGTATATTCTGAATCGTACCAATCAATATTCGACTGAATTGAAATGTGGCTTGTTACGTCACACCATCAGCAGTATCTACCACCGATTTACTTTTCCGCCAGTTAAGGCGTTTTCTGACGCTCTGACAAGTCTCTTCACCACTATTTTAAGGCCGTTAGTCCGTCTGTATGTTAATTCCATATTTAAGAATTTAGCCTTAAGAATTTTGTTGAAATTACAGTCACTATAAGAAATGCAACATAATTCGATACATTCCTAAAAGGGTAAAAGGAGTCTCTTTGCTATTTTTCTGACATAAAAAAATATTTAATAGATGACTACACAGCATTTAATGTACAAATATATATAATATTTTGGTCACTGTTAGATCACAACTAATGATTGAAAGAGAAGGAAAGTATACATATTACGAAGACTCTAAGCAAACTTAAAACTGAAATAAGATATTAGCGTCTTTGTTTACAAAAATATTTGTGTAATGAATATTTTTCCTGTTATCACCACGGGCTTGGAATAAGACGCCGAGCTATCACTCACTTGCATAACAATGAAACTTATTGGGGAAAAGTTGCATATGAAATTAGTTGAAACTCTTACCTTCAATAAAGCTGCACCGTTGAAACTTTTGAATATCAGCTGTGTTGATGTTTGACTCCGTATAACACGTCAGAACTCCGTAACCGAATAGTACCAATATGTAAATGACTTACCTGCCACAAATGCAATATACAGGTGTGTCATATTTCTAGTGGAATTCTGACAGGTACGATAATCAGCGATGTTGGTTTCGTCTCCTCACTAATCACACACCTGGCGGAATCATCACAGGTAGTGTGGATAATCTTTAGGGATACTTAGTGTACGTCACCCCTAACCTTCCCGTCACGGGTACAAACACTGATTTTAAAACGATTGGTTAGCTTATTTTGAAAAATAAAAATGCTTCTAGAAAACACTGAATCAAATAAAAAAAATCTTTATGGTCATGTTACGATATAAAACCTTAAAGCATATTATTAGCAATATCCATGAACATAGAACTTGCGATGAAATAAAGTGTATATTTTATCATTGTAACGTACCAGCTAAGATTAATATTACAATGCTTTGTGTGGTGATCTAACGAGGCGATTATCTCCCCTCCATCTATGATTGATATACAAACAAGGCGATGTTTATATCGTCTGTGTTTGTTGTCTGATCTCGTCGATTGTGTTGGGGTTTCACTATGACAACAATAACACACCCCTCCCTACACATTAGTGACACATACTGTTTACCTATCTCCTCACTGGTGATAACAATTAGGCTCTGTTACATGATGGTATTATGTTTAAATATATTTACCAATATTAGTTTTAGTACATGTGTACTAAAGTCCCTTGTCTTAGGCAGGATGCAGGATGACGGAAGGGAGGATTTGTGTGTGTGTGTGTGGTGGTGGTGGTGGTGGTGGTGTGTGTGTGTGTGCGTGTGTGTGTGTGTGTGGTGGATTTGTGTGTGTGTGTGTGTGTGTGTGGTGGTGGTGGTTGGATGTGTGTGTGTGAGGGTAGGAAGTGAGGGTTTGTAAACATTGCTTTGATCACCTTACTGGCCCTGTTGTATATAGAATGGCTAACGCCCATGTCATTAAAAAACGATATTTGTATGATAACACTTTTGTGACGCCATAAATATGCCATGATTCGATGATGTCACCTGATTATCTGTTGTAATGAAAAACGCACCATCCGCGACGAAATCTTTGTCTCTTCGCACAATTCGTTTTCAACGATTATTTGAAAAAATACATGATTAGAATCTTTCACTCGTTCCTTGCGTAGTATGGATGTTATCAAACTCCGTATTACATCTCATGTATACTCATGTATACAACATAAGGTACATGATAATAACAAAAGGCCTTTCTTCGAGAAGAATTTGATAAGTTTTGTCCTAACTATTTCAGGAAATATACGATACTGGTGTCGCCGAATTCGATTTTTTTCATTTCTAAAAAGGAAGAAAAAACATCTCTGTATTCTGTGTAAATATCCTGTTTATTTTTGGAAGAAAAAAAAACACACACAATCAAACAAAACAAACAAACAGCCATGCATTTATTGATTCGATCAATTTATTTTGATTTGCTTGTTACATTAAAACAATATATCACTGGACACGAGTTAAGTACGTAATACATGGAATCCATTGTTGAATGAAGGTAACGTAAGTATAACTTTCTGCATCATCATCGGAATCTCTTAAAAACATGAATGAATTAGCTACTTGTCATAATTTAGGCCTGGTATAATATCACATTCGTCGAGTGACTGTTACCGTTAAACATTTCGGGAATTTTTTTTATTGGGCAGATGGAAAACTGGTTAAAAAAACCTAATAGACTTCCCATTACTGAATAACAATACGACAACACACACATTCTTTCATGATTCGACAAAACCTTAATTATCAAATATATCTACAGACTCTATGAAGGTTTAAAACAACTGATATTTCTAATAGGCATCTGTAATTAAGTAAGTATAAATGACGAAGTACTGTCCGCTTGAATTTCTGAATACATTATTATCTGTGTAATATGAGGAAACAGATTTACATAAACATGTAAGATAGTTATTTCTAGTTCCTTTGCACTATTATGTTTGTTGCATTCGATTAATGGAATAAGAAAGAATGAAAGAAAACAAATTAATATTAAAATCTGAAATTTGGGGAAAAATATACATGACATCCGAATGTAATTTCTTTTTGACAAACAGTCAAAACTTTCCAGTAAATTTCTATCAATCACGTGAGTAAAATTTCAAACCACAATACAGTGTGTTATAATGATAATGAATGATGATGGTTAGAGTGGTTTATCGTCTTAATATCTGTATTACCGTTCAGAATGATACGGACACTCGTGACAGAAAATATTAACCACACTCGTGAAATTTATATATTTTCACGGAGAAGAAGACAATATTAAAAGTCCCCCATTTCGTCATAACTGAGACGGTTTTCATAGGAAAAAGTACCAGTGAAAAAACACCGGGCGCAATGACTAGATCTAATTATTTTCCAGTAGTGATAAAGTTGATTTAAAATAAAAAAATTCAGACGTCGGATGTTGCAAAACGGCAATTATCAGACGATGAGACAGACAATGATATGCATGTACATTAAAATATATACTAATATTCCTGATGTACCATCCGTAGGTAACGTTTTACAAAATATTATCAAGGAAGATGCTAGGGTCTTTCCGTGATATTGTATAGATATTTACGGACTGTTACCATGGAAACTGTTCGGCTATTTCCGTGATATTGTATAAACATTTATAAAGTGCCACCATGAAAAACTCTTCGGGTATTTCCGTGATATTCTATTTGCAACCGGAACCAATCATATTGTGAGGTCCAACTCAAATCAAAACGGATTTTTCCGGATTGTATGCAATTGATGTGTTCGCCAAGTAACGGAAAATAAAATTCACTGAGATACATGACACAGTTTGCTAATTTTAAGATTTTGATTATTTGGAATTTAGAATAAAAAATCTTGAATCGTGTTTGAACGTAAAAGTGTTTCATTCGACAATGAATGTTGGTATTTGTTCTGAATATCACACAATCTTTGGCAAAGTGATAATGCTGAGTGATTAGAAAAAAAATGATACGCAGTGCAATATAGCACATCTTGTGTACGAAATTATTGCGTATCTTTGGCAATCTTGTTAACTCTCCGTAATTTTTCATGTCGAACATTGCATGGAAAATAAAAAAAAAGCGTTATTGTGATACAGTACAAATACAGTGTAGGCTAAATTATACAGTTCAAACACTACAACGACAACTCAGAAAGTGTACAAGAAAACAAAATACAAATTAAAACTTATAAAGTGTCACATCGAGAAAATTTGAAAGCAGGAAAAATTACAGAAAAGAAATAGATACAACAAAGACAACTTGACAATCCCGTATGATATTAATATCATTGTCATTTATAAGTATTTTTTAAATATTTTGAAGTTTTAACATTACAATAAATGGCAAGTCAGATTTCCTTTGTAATATTTACAATAATAATGTTCACAAAGATTCTTCAACATCGTTAACAAGTTTCTAAAATCTCTTTCTTTTCCGTTTGGATTTGTAACTCTACAACAAGAAACCAGATATCTATTTTACATATACTTAAGAGACAAACAGCAAACATAACTCTGAACTGAAATTCCAGCGTTCTGTACGTAACTAATTTAGGTCAATAATGGTATATCTGCATACGTAATCTATAACCTGGCACACGTCTTAAACGTACCTGTTGTAAAGCGCGATGTAGAAGTTATATGAAATCAATTACGAAAATCTCCAGGATATACAGTCAAGTGAAGTATAAATGCTTACTAAAATTGTGGATTTTCTTAACGTTTTATATATTTCACAAACCCCTAATCGTATTGTTGAACGTTAAGGTGGTGTTTTCACACAAATATCCGTTGTGCACGGCAATTACCACGGGCATAAGTAAAGTGCCTTTATTTCGTAAATGATTGGAAATTCAAATGCATTGGAGTTCAAGGAAAAGAACATCGCAGTAGTCGGCAAATAAATACTGATTTCATAATCTGTACAAAGACTGTACTGTTTTACGTTTTTGCTGTGTGTTGCGTTTGTGTGAACTTTAATATCGTAATACATATCTTCATTAATACCTTTTACACAACAAAGTCTCAAGTTGAAAAATTACACTCATTTATCGCTTGAATACATTTTTTAAAATTAAAAAAGCTCACTGTTAAGTGCCAGTTTCTGTTTATGTAAAATTAAATTCACTGCATCAGTGCAAAAAATAAAGTCGATGTGATAGTTTACTGCCTCGTCACGGTTTATATCACTGTCGTGTACGAGATTCGGAGAGGACATAATGTATCAAGATGGCGGCGTCGAAGCACGCTGTACGGTTGTACCGACTTTCTGTCACCAACTCCTTCTAGCTCCTAAGTGTTACTGAGTAATTTTCACCTGCAGAAATTTCCTGACAGAATAGTGAATAGTTGAACGGTAAGTCGAACTTCGAAATTTATGTAGTATTAATCCAAGATATTGATCGTAACTGAGAATTTGAATCAGGTAGGAATCCGGAATTCCCATTTTTTTAACTACATGATCGTTTTCTTGCACTGTACTGACATGTACCATGCTAACAGCCGAACCTTAATAATAATATCTATCTAAGTGTGTTTTGCGTCTTATATTTAGAGAAAAAAGTTTGTTCAAAACTGAGAGTGCTTTACAACGGAGGGGACATTAGAATGGAAATTCAAACATAATGACAAAACTATTAATTGTTCTCTCCGTTCACACATATTTTCATATTAGCTTAATTATCGCATAGATATAAACAGGAAATGGTCGATATGAACACCACAGTATTGAACATGCATAGAGCATAGTGTGTACAATCTTAAATACATCAAATATCTTCATATACACAAAACACATGTTTGAATTTCGGTTGATGTCCAGTTCCAAGTGTTTGATTTTAAAATACTAGTCTGCCCTATGCGTTGACTCGCTGTTCGGTCAAGAAAAATTTTAAAAAAAAAACAAAAAAAAAAAAACGAAAAATCCTAAAACATCGAAGAAATCTATTACACAATTACCCGAAAGTTTAGACGCCATGTTGAAATGTTCCATCCGGAAACAACAGTACATCCGTTTTGTTATTCTGTCTCCCGTCTGCGTGTTCTGTACTGAGGTGAAGGGAATTATATGACATTATAATCCGTTATGTCATTCACTATGAAAATATCTGCAAGGCATAAAACATTTGCAGATACATATGAAACAAAATAAATAAATAAACAAATAAATAAGATGATAAATAACAAATCGCTGCCAATCCAACAATTAACCAATGTCAATCCATGACCAATATCAAATTTACAAATCGGAGTAACTCTTAGCCAGAAAATAACCGCTGCATTCTCTGACTGTTAACTTTTACAATTCGGTCGATTCCGTACTACCGGAATTAGCCGAGCATAGTCGCGTGTTTTACTTTTGAAATCACTGATGACCCATGACCAAACGTACATTAATGTATCGCTTGTTGCACTCACGTTCTACAACATATGTTTTGTATATAACATCACTACAAGGCCACCTGTAATATTGAGGGATTAAATCATACCCTCTAAATTTTAAGACGGAACTTTGGTATCGCCTCTGATTGATACGATTTCCCGTGTTAGAAATACACAGCTTCCGTGTCACGTGTATTTGAAACGGAAGTGACATCATGCAATACATTTTCAGAAAAGTCATTTTCAAAACGGTGTGGAATGTTTATTGGTTCCTCATCTGGCCAGACAGACACGTCTTCAGGCCAAGGGGAAGAACTCTGTCGAGTTTGTATTACATCACGAGGGCCTGTCGGTAAACCGAAGCTGGAACCCTGGTGAACCAGAAGAGAGCTTTCAAGTCCAGAGTTAAAACCGGAATCACCATGATCCGTTTCGGATGTTGAATTTACCATTATATCGGAAACAGGGCTACAGTTGGCTTTGTTCGTTAGTTCCGCATATTTATTAGGGTATGATACTCCATTCCTTAATGATGGCAGGCTGTCGAACGGATTCTCACTACTTCCGGTGCTACGAGTGTCTGAAAAATGTTTCGGTACAACAGCGTGAGTTCTGAAAGGATCTTCTTCAAGAGAAACGTTGGATTCTACCGGAAACACACTGGATCCGTCTTCAGAGCCTTCTGTCACGGAGTCGAACCCGGGAATCGTGCCACATACTGATGGAGTGCCTGGACACCCTACAGAAAGCGCTTCCTCGAAACCTCGGTCAATCTCCGGGTCAAAGACAAATGATAATGGTGTCGATGTATCACTCCGCGGGCTTTCCACGTTTCGGCTGTCATTACACTCCGCCATATATACGTGTGAAATTCGGGCATCTGATTTATTTCTATATGGCGAGGCTAAATGTCCGGAATGTTCAAATATTGGAGTATCCTTATTTTCACGAGAAAAGTAACTTGAGGCAAGCGAAGAGCTACCGGACAGTTTTCTACACAAAATACTTTCATCGTATTTAGCTTTTTCCGAGTCTACACTTTTATATGTTTTAATATCAAAATGAGGGGAGGTAACTCCCACCAGACAGTCGTGAATTTCTAAATGCGATGGCTCGGAATAAGACAAGTCTAACGCGAGTTCTTCCGCTTTGTAGAGATCTGTTCTTGCATTTCCGTCACCGTCTGTCCTACAAGCGTGTACACCTACCGTCTGACTGGAGTCCCCTAGAAGATCGCTCACATCTACGTCATCAAATGATGCACGCGATTCACTGCGCTCTGAATGCACGTGACTAGAAGCATGACTTGATGAACGAACATGCCGTAAGTAAGGGTTCGGATTTACGTCAATTTCGTGGTCCGAATTATCAGTTGACTTCAAACCGTTCGATATGACGTCGGGTAAGTTACAAGTTGAGAGATTGTCGCCATCACTATCACGTGCTAAACTCGACGACCTTGAATGCTTGTTGGATTGAATAGCTTTGAAACTTGCCAAATGCGGCCGTGAGTTGTGTACTTCAACGCTTGTTCGAGCTGAATGATTCTGATCAAGAATCATTTCTATGTCCCCTTCGTCATATTGCCCACTAGCGCCCTCACTTTCGCTGCGTTCCTCCAACAGATGTCGCTTTCTAGGCAGACTATCCGTATTGAGGTTATCGGGATGGTAATCACCCGAGAGATAATAATGTAGACTACTACTGTCCTCGCGCGCATGCGTGTGTGTAACCGACTGACGTGTAATCCGCGCTCTATGTGCCTCACCACTGTCAAACGCCTCGTTGACAAAGATTGACGGTAAATGCTTTTTGCGCATTTGCTCTTTCCAGTCGTGACGAGAATTTGAAGCGGAACGCGTTAGACTGCCGTCTATGGTGGTATCAAGATACGATACGGGAGTCTCGTGATTCGCATGATCTGACGACACAGTTTGCTTTTGACTCGGGGATGATCGCGATGAAGCTGCCGAAGATGTACGTTGTACTGGGGGCAAGGTTTGGGAATAAGTTCCCCTTTGTTGGTGCAAAGGACCCGATGTAGCTGCGTATGCGCTGGATTGTGCATCCGGCATATTTTCTGGTCGTTGCCGATACCGCTGGTTCTGCTGTCGGGCAATTGTACTAATATCCGTCAAAGGGAGCTGTCTGTTCTTATGAGGGTATCCATCTAAAATCTCTTCCGGTTGTTGCCGTGGTAACGAACCAGAGGGAGCGCTTCGAGTACTGGTCCCGTTCAACTGTTGTGCTGTGCGGAGGTATGACTTCAGAGTACATGTGGAAGGATCTGAAAACATGGAAAAATATCAAATGTAACATTTTCTATAACACATCACACGTTACCATGGATACTGTAAATTATTTTCTGAAAAAATGCATTACGTTACTATAAAAGAACATGTATAAAATACTGTGCAAAATTGTCGATAACATTGCCACGTTACCATGAATACAGTGTAAAGAATTTCTATAACGAATGCCATGTTTCCATAGATACAGTATAGGATTTTCTAAAATATGCGTCATGTTACCATGGATACGGAGAATTTGTTTCATTATATATGTCTCGTTGACATGAATACAGTATAAATTTTCTCCAACAAATGACACCCATGTTTTCAAACGTCAAAAAAATTTCCAAGGCGTATGTCACGTTACCATGAATGAAATTTATTAAACAAATACAATGCCACCATGGGTACAATGTAAGGTTTTCCCAGGTGTGTGTCACGTGACCATGGATGCAGTATACAATGGATACCGTGTAAGATTTGTGTAAAGTTACCATTGATACAGCATAAAAAGTTTCAAAGAAAAGCCCATGGTTAGGAAACAATACATATACATGTATTAGATTTTCTCAAATCTACGTCACGTTACCATGGAAACCATCCAAGAATCTCACTTATACATTTAATATTTATTGGCCTAAAGCGTGTGGTGGTTATGTTTCATGGTGTTATATCCAACACCATCAGACAAGTTTTCTTGTACGTAAGATTGTACCAGTAGGCTATTGTATGTAAATTAGTTGGCAACGGGTTCCTAATGGTATTGATTTGAATCTCTTGTCTGAAACAACGAGGTTATATAAAACTTATACGGTTCTATATAAATCAAAATAATGATGACTCATCTTTTACGTGTTTTCTCATTTATTTGTTCGTTTATCTATTTATTTATTTATTTATTTATTATCTATTTTTACTTGTTTATTTATCTCGTTTATCGATTTTTATTAATTTATTTATTTATCTGATTTATTGATTTTTATTCATTTGTTTATTTATCTTGTTTATCGATTCTTATTTATTGATTTATTTATTACATTTATTCATTTTTGTATCTAAATATCTATTTTCATGTTTGATGAAATCAGAGACGTATGTGTGTTATGAACAGCCTTGTGTAATAAGGATGACGGGTTTCTAAACACTATCTCGGAGACTTTTAACACTTAATAACTTCACGGACCAAGATATAGATGGATGTTTAAGTCTGTGATATCTTCTTCATGTATCTTATTGTTATGAGATTGTTTGGACAATATTACACATACAAATTAAAATGTTATCATATATATGGAAAGTCCGTATAAAAATACCTAGGTATGGCATTCCTAGAAATGGCAAAATTTAGAAATAGATATCAATATATATCATTTCTATTGTCCTTGTCTTTATATGTAAGTGTCACAATATTGACAATGTATGTTTTTTATTCACGCAGTCAAATATAACATCGTACCCTCTTCTTCCTCAGCGGGCCTCCGCAACACGCGCACACGCCATATATAGACAAACGCATGTCGATAGCGCGTGCTGACGATCCACAGGAGGTGAGGGAGACAAAGTGACTCTATCAGGATCAACCAGATGACAGCATTTTCAATTTTCTTGCGAGGGGCTCCCGGAGGGGATGTCAAAGCTACGAATTCCAAAACCTGAAACATATAATAATAATAGAGTACTCATTTTATTCATGACATCCCCTTATATTTTAATGTTGCCTCCTACGTTTCAATACATTAGGCGCCTAGCAATACTGACGAGTCCAAGAAGGAAGAAAAGTGGAATGGTAGAGTTTAAACTCTACATTTTTAATCGACAACGAGTGTCTATTGGCCAATAAATTATGCCAATTGGACTTGTCGAATAAAACCCGATCATATATCTATTCTATGACAAACGGATCGTACACGTAATGTTGAGAAACAGCTTTATTTGTTAGAGTTGTCGCCCCGTAAACAGACACTGTCACTTTTAAGTGGGGTCTCCTTGTAGAAACCGGCGACTATCTCATCGGACAAAATTCGCGAGGCGTGTCGCATGTTATCAAGAGTAATTAGGTTAAAGTGACAGTACAGACAGACCAATTTTTCAGCTTTCTGAGAAACGGGGAAAAAACAAAACAAAATAACAAAAAAACAAAAAACAAAAAACATGGGTACGGGGTGTCGAACCATGCACCTCGGATCTTCACTCTAACCATCTGATCAGTTAACCATATATTATTCACCAATATCGGGTGTTTGAGGCAGGTAATAATTTGATGAGTAAAGGAGGGAACATCAATTTTGGTCATTTAGCAGCAAAGACAATTACAAAAACCATTATTACAGAACTGCACTTGCAAAAAAATCTCATTAGCAACCTCAAAATCAGCAATCTGTGACATTTCAATCAAGTATTCTTTTATGTTTAAGTGCTAGTGTGATATAGACCAAACTGTTACGATACATGTATATAGATGTACATAATGTCGCTCTCTGGCTATAAAATACAGCATTTTAAGGGCTATTTCTAATTACGAGGCTCTGAACCATGTAATTACAAGTAATGGTTGTGGTCTCTCTACCACCATCTGTTTCTATAAAATCGCTATAGGCCTTCAGGCCATTCCGAACAAATGTCGTGACTGTATGTATAATTGCCAGATCGTTTTGACAAGCAAAATTGTAGCCTATATACAAAACTAATCGCCCTCTTCTTAACGCTCAAATCGATAATGTACATGCAATCTGCTTAGATTCAAGAGTACTCGAGATGCTAGTTTACTGAAGCAATCCAATGCCCTTCAAGCTTTTCCATGAACCCGACGGGATGAACTATTGACAGAAATAAACCGAGTAATGACTATACTAGGGTTAAGTCTGATGATAAGAAACACTGACGATTGTTGATAACAGGTATAAAAGAAATGTGTGTTTCGTGTTTTCCTTTCTCTAGTTCCGACTTCAGGCCAAACAGCACCAATTTCTTGTTATTTGGTTTTGCTACAGAGGACGGTACGTTTTGCTATTAAACAGCGATAAAAATGCCGAAATGATTGGCAATTTTGTCCTTACTCTTAGATCACAGTTATCAAAAATCTTCAAATACACCAGCCGAAAGCTATAATTAGAGATAAAAAGGATAAGAGTTATGTAAACAACAAATAATTAGTTTGAATGTCCTAATATGTCAATTTCCAGAGAATAAAACAGTGTATTCTAAGGGAGTAATTCAGTGTTCGTGTCCTCCTAAACAACCCCGTACGTCCCAGTGTTAATAAGGTAAAGCCTAAAGAGAATGCCGGGGACCATTAATCCATATTTGTATTCATCATTACAAATCTTTGATGTCAACTATGGTTTTGTTTTGACACATCTATGTACTTCCATCTGCATTGATTTGACTTTTTCCGCGTAACTTTAAAGTATGTCACCAGGGTGCGTGCCGGAAAATTACACTAGGAAATCCCGGACATTTATTTCATATTTTCTGGGTTCCCGTTAACGTTAAACATGCACAGGTTTATTAATAAAACAAAAACAAGACCAAAAAACGACGACGACAAGAACAATGCATTATGTTGTATTATGAGAGGAAGTCGAAAGAAGACAAGAGAATGTGTCTTTATGCGTCTTTCCTGTATTCTACAGTTAAACATATAGTTATACTGATGGTTTTTCAGAATGTTTCTACGAGGGGTTTTCTAAGCATCCACGATATCCCAGTGGTTATGGTCAATGTTACTTGGAACACTATAAGTGAATACAATTTCACAACATAGTAAATATCCTCGCTATTCCAGAGGTCACTATCATTTTTGCTCTATATATATAGCGTGTAAATAACTACAATGTATATTTATTTAACTCCGACTGTCTAATGTAGTTTGGTGTCTATGATCAAACTACGCGCTGTTTTAAACTGAATGATATCATCCTGTGTTTAAATCTAACTTCTGACATCAATGAATTAATAAATCGTGCGAATGTCATTCTACATCAAGAAACGGTATTCATTAGTTAATACTTAGTCAATAGACAAACATATTATTGAAATGTTTCATCCTTATCATAATGTTGAATATATTTTGTACATAATACTGTATGCCTCATTTCCAAGAGTAAACACGCAATGCAATCAAATTTGTGAGGTTCACTGTTATTGTTCCTTGTCACCGTAATAAATCTTAATTTGAAAACATTTAACTAAAAACATAAAACATAATGAATTATACAATACATTCAACTTAATTTCAAGTTTAAAGAGTGATTAAATGTTTTTTTTTTTTAAAAGGAAACAATTTGGCTTTGTGCTTTTTCGAAGCACTACCGGAAGTGTATTGTGCATGTGCATTGTGGGTAATTAGTGAACACATGCCTGCTCTTTACATATTTGAGGAGAAAGCATGTTGTACACATGTCCACGACAAAACAGTTCAATATTGATAAAGAGATATATGTCTTCCCGAGGGGATTTTGAGCGGAAAGAGAAAACTGGTTATGTCCTTATCTCTAACCAACAATTAGCTGGCGGTGCCTAGTTCCCACACCAATGTGCCGAGCCATAATGAAGCTTGTAAAACGAGACAATCAAAGCAATTATGCGACATATTGTATGCAGGTCTCTGGGGAGCCCCTTCGTAGTCAGGCTACAGGTCCCCATGTCTCAAGCCTTCTGTTGTCAGTCCTCATTATTAGCATACATGTAGAACTAATATTCTCCGCTGTCATAATTTGGTATCTTCTATGGTAATTTGAGGGTATGATTCCAATTTTGTAAAGATGTTGATAAAACCTCCTTAAAGAACAAAGCTTTTACCCTTGTTTGTTTGCTTTTTCTTTCGTTTTTTTATTTACAAAGCTGTGTTTCAATGGGATGAGAGACACAATTTATGTTTCAAAACACATAAAAGATAAAAAAAAAAATCACTTTTTATGTTTTAGTATTCATGCGTGCAATCTATTTTTTAACGTGGGCCGAATGTTATCATTTACAGAAAACAGAACATCTCTTTTGCCTTTTATTTGTTACTGGTCCCAATCCTTCCAGTAAAGCAACAGAGAATTTTAAAATTCAAACCGAAGAAATCTTCTGTGATTCAAAGTTCTCTATAACTCTTCAGATAAGAAACCCAATTTTCTCATTTACATCGAATGCATTTTAAGGCTTCCCGTTGTCCGTTTTCCAATCTTACGCCAGGAAAATACTGTCGGAAGTAATTGACACGAAACTTCACTTCGTTTTAATGTGAAAAGACATTCACACCAGAGACATGAATACTCGACATGAAATATCACAAAAGCAAGCTGTAATTTGCCAAATCATCAAAGTTTCACATCACAGTTTCATTTTCTGTGTAATATTTTTCTGAATCTAGAGAGAGGGTTACTTCACCATATAAGGAAACGTTCATTACATTTTGCCGGTCAATTCTGTCGTGTCCGTTGTTCATCCCCGATGGATAATCCCGGCTGTAACCAGAGACAAATTGTGGACACTGGCGTTAATCGCGCTTCCCTGATTGGTCGTTAAATTATTTTCCTACCGCAATGATCAATTATGTCCATTTACGGCAATGTCAGACCTCGCACGTGCCTTCCTAACTGTATTAAGGCAATATGTCGCCCCTTTTAAAACCAGAGACACGTGCGCGTGTAGGAAGTGCGCATGTGTTAGGTACAGTCATGGCCCCATCACGGTTAACCGGTACAACCAACAAACCATTAACTGACGACAATGATGACTCAGTGTTGAAATTACCATTTACTATCTCTCTCAAAAATCCCTAATGAAGTTTTTCATGTTTTAGGTCTTGATTTCGTGCAGATACTATTACGATACTCATTTTCAGGTCTTCACTAATATTCTGATACCCAATCTGATCATCATTTACTTAATGAAAAAACGTTGATTAAAGAAAGATAATTAAATTTCAAAGAATGATTATTTTTTCAAAAAATAATTGATTCAGTTTTGAAAAGTAATGAAAACTATACATCAAATTCTACAGCATGATTTTTTTTTATGAAAAATGATTAAAAAATAATGTATAAATTGTAAAGTTACTACAGAAATGAGACGCAATTTTTTCTGAATTACACGGATGATTGAAAATTGTCCCCTCTCAAATAGCGAAACGGAAATGCAAAATCGGTTTTATATAATAGCATTAAGTTGCGCAGCATATCTCAAATAGTCCTGTGAATCTTTGACTGCAATGCTAGTCAGACAGAATGCAAGACCCCAGGAGACCTAAACCATCCTGTCACGACAGGACAATCAACTTAAAAAGTGAAAAGCAACAAAGAGGTTGCAAAATAAGATGAAGTTGTACTGGGAATATTCTTATGAAAACTTCCGACAAAACTCCCGGAAAGCCAGACGAAACTGACTACGATGAATCACGGTTTGTTCGCTATTTTCCGTGGGGACGGGCACATCTGGCCGAGTATTTATATAAACATAGCCAGAATAATGTACAACAGCCAAATCTGAACACGATAGCCGTTTAACACGCATGTACTTTAACGCAGAGAGTCATTTCTGCGCGCTTTCATTTTACAGGCCGAGACGATAAAACGCACATGATTTTCAACGATTTGACATGACTTGATATGAAACAAGAGCAAGTTTAATTAATCAAATGTTTATACCGCGTTCCACTCTTTGA